CATTTGCAACTCAAGAGCGTCCAACACACCTGAGGAGGATAGACACAAAGATGCTCTGAAAATGACTTCAAGTTACCAGGCTTACCTTCCATCTGCCCTAAGAGCCCAGCAGCCTGAGATCCTGGCTCCCGAGTACGCTGGGAGTGTGTTCATGACGGACGCACAGAGACAGACAGACGAAAGATCAGTGCTGGGACGCACACATACACAGACGCTAGAGCGCCTGCCCTGTCAAGCCGAGGAGAGCCACAGAACAGGGAGAAAACGAAAGTGAAGCAGAGGGGAGGAAAACAAAACTGCTTTCTATGTCGGTTTGGTTTTGTTTTCTCTGTCACAAGTGTTTAGTGGGCTGAGACCATTCAAGACAAACCGTTCTCTCTTTCTCTCTCTCTAATGCGCTACTATAGACCCTGCCAACAAACGTAAGAGGATAACGTATCCTGCAGATTATGTATTAATAGCAGCAGGTAGGAAACACGCAGAGCACACGCCCCCCCCTCCGCTGGCCTCTTATGGGGCAGCTCATCGGTCTGTGACACTCTGACTGGAGAGATCGAGAGGAGCACTTTTGAATTGTGTTCTTAGGTGCGGAACATAAACAAATCAGGCTGCTCTGTGAGGCGAGAGTGCTGGACTGTGACAGCAGGTGTCGTGTCATGAGGTCTGTGCCTACATGCATGCACATCCACAAATATATATCAAACTGTGTTCTGTCTGTGTGTATTAAGATGTATTAGTCGCAAACTAAAAAAAAAAAAGTCCCACTAATTAGATGCTTTACTATTATAGTAATGATGTAATAACTGATTATAATAACATACGATACCTGTATACAAAACTTATTATTAGAATCCACCAAAAAAGATGAGAACAGTAGCCTTATATAGTTATACACACAAACTGCCACAAAAAAGTATTATATATTTTAATTATTCATATTAATACTTTTATTCAGCAAGGATGCATTATGCTGATCACAAATAACAGTAAGACATTTTTATGCTGTTTTTTTTAAATGCTGTTTTTTTTTATCTTTCTTTTCATCAAGGAATCTTGAAAATAAAATGCATCAAAGGTTTCTATAAAAAAATTAAGCAGCACAACCATTTTTTAAATTAAATTATTATAATATTTGTTTTAGGTTACAAAACATACATACTTTTTATAAACATACATACTAGGGGTTGACCGATTATCGGCGCCGATATTAAGCATTTATATGATTATCAGTATCGCTCATTTTCAAAACAGATTCGCCGATAAAATAACTTAATTTTGAAACGCGCTATTTGGCTCTGATGCAGCCTGTCAGAACTCACCACTCTGTGGCCTAAAGCAGTCTCCGCCCACCGCTCATCTTATTTGTTGGGAGTCACGAGTCCGACCAATCAATGCGGATTTCACTCTCACTCCAAAAGTGCTTGCTAACTGGAGCTGCTTCAGTGATCACGCATCAGTTGTCTCTCAAAGGTAAGGCAGCAGCAGACGTTGCTTAAGTTGCAATAGATCCCAATCCACTAACGTTGCACTGAAGTTGCAAAACACCTCAATATTATCTATGATTTCCGCGATGCGGAAAACGCGGATGGAATCGCAGAATTCAGTCATATAAATGGAATTTACCGTATGACACGGAATGTCACAGTTTGGATGAATTAATCAAAAGTAGGTGAGTACACTTAAACAGTCGCAATATGGACTAGTATCTGTAAATATTAAGCCGCAAAAATACTATTTAAATATGAATCCAGCATGTTCATATTTCGTCTCTGTGTATGTAAATGGCACAGACTCGCAGTGTTTTCTACACATACAAAGTGTGCGACGCTCGCGCTGATTTCAGCTTCTGTCGTATCACTACATGAGGACATAAATACATGAACAACATCTCCAGAACTGCTCTGACTCCTCACTTCATGAGCATTTGACAGTTTCATTGGAGTAAAACCATCTTCATATCATTTACATAGACCTACAGAAACAAGTTCCTCATATGTGTATCACCAGCAAAGTCACGATACGATACGATACGTATCACGATACAGAGGCCACGATAAGATACATGACTGCACTGAATTTCACCTCAGCAGAATTTAGAAAAACAGCTGTTTCGCCTCGCATCATTCACAGTCGGGTTATTAGCAGAGAACACAGAGCAGGTCTTGAATTTCAGGCGCAGGATTGTGGCTATTATTAATAATAACTCATTCCCGCAGGTTCCACGCTTATAACACCATGACAGATGACGGAATTTATCATTTGCACGTGCTTTTGAGTCTTGAGAACTCACTCGCGCGCTCTCATTTTCTGTGCGCCCACAGGCAAACACAGCGGTGTTTCATTCATGAATGAAAGTGCGCTTTTGAGCGAATCTAGTCAGTGATTCATGATTACCCATTCATAAAGACAGTCACTTGCTTCATTCATGAATGAATCAGCCGTTCAAACGAATCAATTGAATGAATGATTCAGTGATAAAATCCGTGATTTGCCGCCACCT